GAGTCGGTGACTCGTGCGGGCGCTGTATCGTGGCGACGCCGACGGCGGTGGGTGCGATGATGAGAATGGCGATGATGGTGACGATGGTGGCGGTGGCGATGGCAAGGCGAATGACGGCGCCGATGTCGATCGCGCCCGCCGATAATGATCACGATGTCCTCGCGTCGGCGTGAAGGTTTTGGAAGAAGTTCGACGTGCGAGCGCGGCCGACGCGCGCGAGTGCTCCGCGCGGTATAATTTGACGCGGATCGCGCCCCCCCCCAGCGCGCGCCGCAAGGGCGCTCGGTGGAAAACGCATGGATTTCTGAAGGATTCGCAAGGGCGCGCGCAGGTCTGTTGGACAATTGATGTTGGGAAACCAGTGTTGCAATATGTTTTCGGGGCACTCGTTTTGGAAATCTTTGTGGCGCCCGAGGTTTTGGAGATTCCGGCATGCGCGCGCGACGACGCGCTCGCGTGCACTTCGTTCTTTGGTATTGGCGGATTCTTGCGACCTCGCGCGCGCAGAGGCGTTGGCGCGATTTCGACGTGCGCGCGCGGGGGGCCCGTTTGGTCGCAGGTTTCGCGCACGTTGAAAACGTTTGGTTTGTTAGACATTTGCAAAAATGCGAGCACATTTTTCATGTTTTTGAATTCTTGTTGCGAAGTCATGTGTTCTATGTTTTCGGGGCACTGGAGTTTGAAATCCCTGCGGCACCTCAGGTTTCTGAAGGATTTCGGCGCGCGCGCGACGACGCGCGCGTGTGCGCATCGCTCAGTTTTTTCGTCTTTCTTTTTTCCCCGCGGAAGTTTGGGATAATGGAGGACTTCAGATAAACGAGTGATAGTTTCTTTGTTCTCCCCGAAGGGGGGACCGTTGCCAGTTTGTCTGGGGTGGCGCGAATTCAGCTTTAGGATGGATGATGGGACAGAATCGCGCATGCATTGCAAGGCGCAAAGATGACCCGTTAAGTCCAGGGGGGGGGGGGGGGTCCGATCCTGACGCGCCGTGAGAAAGGATAATTTACCTTGCCGAGCAGGAAGTTGTCATGCCCACCGCTCGCACGAACGCCCCGTCCGCGCGAACATATCAGTGCGACTTGGCGATTCGGGCTTGCGCGGCATCGCGGCGACGTCGACGCGGCAGACGCGATGGTGATCGTGGCGATGATGGTGGCGACGGTGGCGATGGCGACGGCAAGGGCAATGGCGGCGCCGATGTTGCTCGCGCCGCTGATGATGATGATGGCGCCCGCGTGTCAGTGAACGAGGTTCCGGAAGGGTCGCCCCCCCCCCCAGCGTTTGCGCGGAGGCTATCGAATGATTTCGACATGCGCTCGAGAGGCCCGCTTAGTTGCGCGCGATGGAAATGTTGAAGAACCGGCGGCTGGCGTGAGAATTTGCAAGAGCGCGCGCAGTCTGTCTTGAAAATGCATGTTATGTAACATTTGGTTTGCTATGTTTTCGGGTGCCTCGGCCTTGACATTTTCGCGATGTCGACGGTTTTCGGAAAACTCCGGCATACGCGCGCGACGGCGCGCGCGGGGGTGGTTTTTCCCAACCATCCTGTGGTGTTGGGTCCTCGTTTTGAAGAGACGGTGCCCCGCGTTCCTCTCCTCTCCTCTCCTCTCCTCTCCTCTCCTCTCCTCTCCCTCTCCTCTCCTCTCCTCTCCTCTCCTCTCTCCTCTCCTCTCCTCCTCCTCCCCTCCTCCTCCCCCTCCTCCCTCTTCCCTGCGTTTCACCCACCCAGTACAGCGTTTCGTAGCCCCATAGGAGCTCCACCGAAGGCCCCAGTGCCCGCGCCCGCATGCGTCACCCACACCCAATTCGGCACACCCCTCACACGTTCACACCCCAGTGCCCGCGCCCGCATGCGTCACCCACACCCATTTCGGCACACCCCTCACACGTTTCGTGGCTCCATAGGGAGCTCCACCGAAGGCCCCAGTGCCCGCGCCCGCATGCGTCACCCACACCCATTTCGGCACACCCCTCACACGTTTCGTGGCTCCTCCACCGAAGGCCCCAGTGCCCGCGCCCGCATGCGTCACCCACACCCATTTCGGCACACCCCTCATTTCGTGCACAAGGCCCCAGTACGGGCAGCGTGGCTCCATAGGGAGCTCCACCGAAGGCCCCAGTGCCCGCGCCCGCATGCGTCACCCACACCCATTTCGGCACACCCCTCACACGTTTCGTGGCTCCATAGGGAGCTCCACCGAAGGCCCCAGTGCCCGCGCCCGCATGCGTCACCCATTTCGGCACACCCCTCACACGTTTCGTGGCTCCATAGGGAGCTCCACCGAAGGCCCCAGTGCCCGCGCCCGCATGCGTCACCCACACCCATTTCGGCACACCCCTCACACGTTTCGTGGCTCCATAGGGAGCTCCACCGAAGGCCCCAGTGCCCGCGCCCGCATGCGTCACCCACACCCATTTCGGCACACCCCTCACACGTTTCGTGGCTCCATAGGGAGCTCCACCGAAGGCCCCAGTGCCCGCGCCCGCATGCGTCACCCACACCCATTTCGGCACACCCCTCACACGTTTCGTGGCTCCATAGGGAGCTCCACCGAAGGCCCCAGTGCCCGCGCCCGCATGCGTCACCCACACCCATTTCGGCACACCCCTCACACGTTTCGTGGCTCCATAGGGAGCTCCACCGAAGGCCCCAGTGCCCGCGCCCGCATGCGTCACCCACACCCATTTCGGCACACCCCTCACACGTTTCGTGGCTCCATAGGGAGCTCCACCGAAGGCCCCAGTGCCCGCGCCCGCATGCGTCACCCACACCCATTTCGGCACACCCCTCACACGTTTCGTGGCCCCATAGGGAGCTCCACCGAAGGCCCCAGTGCCCGCGCCCGCATGCGTCAGCCACACCCATTTCGGCACGCCCCTCACGCGTTCCGTGGCCCCATAGGGAGCTCCGCCGAAGGTCCCAGTGGGTGTGCCCGCATGCGTCCCGCACACCCATTTCGGCACACCCCTCACACGTTTCGTGGCCCCATAGGGAGCTCCACCGAAGGCCCCAGTGGGTGTGCCCGCATGCGTCCCGCACACCCATTTCGGCACACCCCTCGTACGTTTCGTGGCCCCGTAGGGGGCTCCACCGAGAAGATATTCACAATTGCAGTATTCACAATTGCATATGGTTGGGTCCTTCGCCAGGACAATTGTTTCGCTTTGTCGCAACTGTTCTCGGCAGCTGGTGCATTTGATAGATGGGTGGGCGCGCGCAGTATCCTTGGACAGGGATGAGGGGGAGGGGGGGTAAGGCTGGTTTGGCTGGGATGGTTTGAGCTCTCATGGAAAACCAGGGATTGGGCAGCATCTGGGTAAATTGCATTATCCCACTGGGGGGCGCGAACTCCGTCGGGTGGTTGTGGCGGCGGGTCCTCGTTCCCTCGTAAACATGAGATATTCGGCGGCGCAACCTGCTGGACAGGAAGTTGTCACTTCCATTGCTCGCGCAATAATCTCACCCGCCCACCCGCAACTTGGTATTTGACTTGGTTTGCAGGACCCACGCGGTGGCGATTGGGCGATGAATGCCTGGCGCTGGCTGGCGCATCGCTGCGGCCGCGCTAACGCGCGCAAGCTCGTGCAGGCTCGCGCAGTGGCTCTCGCGCAGGCTTGTTCGCTGAAGTGCCCCGGCTGGCGCAGAGGCATTTCAGCGCGCGTCGGTGATTCGGGCGGGCGCGGTGTCGTGGCGACGTCGACAACGGCATGCGCGATGATGATTGTTTCGATGGTGGTGACAATGATGACAGTGATGACGACAAGGCCGATGGCGGCGCCGATGCAAATCGCGCGGCTGACGATGGCGTTGTCCGCGCGTCGGTGAGCGAGGTTTTGGAAGAATTTCGACATGCGCGCGCGGCCGACGGGCGCGACTGGGCCCGCGTGGTATCGGAGGTCCGCTCGGTCGCATTGGATGAACATGTTGCAGAACCAGTGGGTTTCGCAAGAATTCGCAAGAGCGCGTGGTCAGTTTTTTTTTGAACGCCGCGTTGTAAACCCATGGTTTTTGTTGTATGTTTTCGGGGCCGTCGATTTTGGACTCCTTGAGAAACTGAATGCTTTTGAGAGATTCTGGCGTGCGCCCGCGACGACGCGCGCGCGCGCGCTACGGCAACCTTTTCTCTCGAAGCTAGTATTTTTTTGATAGACGGGTGTGCGCGCATAGTATCTTCCAAAACGGGCGAAGAGGGGTTAGGTGGGGCGGTGCTGGTTTGGGTGGGGCGGTACGATATCATATGTATGTTAGCCAGCGTGGGCCCCAAACATGGTGTTTCCAGAATTCATGAGGTTTCATTTATGTGTTGGAGACTAGATGGTGCAAACTATGTGTCGCAACATATGTTGTGTATATGTTTATATATATAGATGTGTATATATATATATATATGTATATATGTGGTGCAATGTTTGTGATGCAATCCATTTGGTGCAAGCGTTGTGGGTTATTTTTCGTGGTGCAATTTATGCGGTGCATCTTCAGTGCGGCAAAGTATCTTGTGCAATCTATGTGGTGCAATCTATGTTGTACTATATAACTAGTGCAATCTATGGTGTGCCATATCTGTGGATAATATATATATATATATATCATGCAGTATATGTTGTGTAATTTATGTTGTGTAATCTATGTGGAGCAGTTGTTGCTGTGTAGGCGATGTGATTCCGGCATCTCTGACCCGACCATGCCTGGAACTTGCCCGGGACTTGCGAGGACATACTGGGGCATTGCCGGGACTTTGCCGGGGTATTTTCCGTCCATGTACCCCCAAGGTGCCGCCACGCACGCGCGAATTACATTCTTCGCCTCTCGCCCGTTGGGCCGTCGAATTGAGGGGGAACCGCCTTCCAGCTTGATAGATGCTGAAAGCTTTTAGGACGAATGTTTTGGGTCCTAGGGCGAACGCCTGGGGCTCATCGCCGATCTGTCGGCGATGTATCGCCGATTCCAGATCGATGTTTCCTCCCCCGAGCTGGTTCCTCTCATCGTTGCCTGTCAGGCCCGGCGCCGGTGTCCACACTGGCCGATCTGGAGCAGCGCCTGGATTGCCTCGAGGACTTCGCCGCGCGGCTCCGGCCGCCAGGCGCCCGCTTGCCATCCGTCACCGTTGCCGCCTTCGTTGTCGTCGTCGTCGTCGTCGTCGTCGTCGTCGCAGCCGCCGCCGTCGTTGTCGTGATGGTGGTGGTTGTCGTCGACGTCGTCGTCGGAGATCGAGCATCGATCTTTTGTTTGCATTTTTTTGTGGTCGGGCATGGAGGCCTTCAGAGGTTCTCGTTGTTGCGGCTGGGCCCGGCTCGATAAGCAGGTCAGGACAGTTCCAACAGGGGTCTGTGAGTTTGAGCGGATTCTGGTTGGGGGCGGCGCGAATGGGACGGCCTTCCAAGAAGAAGTCCCGCCTCTTGCAGTCAACACATTGAAGTGAGGACCGCTTCTGACTCAGGAGGGGCCCCGGTTTTCTGGTCGTTCCTTGGATTTGAGGAGGAGGAGGAGGGGCAGGAGGAGGGAGGGGGGAGGAGGGGGGAGGCAGGATGGAGGAGGGAGGAACAAGGAGAGAGGAGGGAGGATGGAGAAAGGAAGAGGGAGGAGGGAGGAGGGAGGAGGGAAGGGGGAGGAGGGAGGAGGTAGGAGGGAGCAGGGATGAGGGAGGAGGGACGAGGGAGGAGATCAAGGGATGAAAGGAGGGAGGGAAATCTCAGGCGCAACGCCCGGCCCGCCCCTTCCGACCAGCCTCGGGGTGCGAAAGGGAGGAGTTGTTCATCAGGAAGAGGATGGAGGAAGAGGAGGAAGAGTGAGGGAGGAGGAGGGCGGCACGAGGGAACGAGGAGCGTGGCGATCGAGGAGGAGGAGGATGAGGAGGAAGAAAAGGAGGAGGAGGAGGAGGAGGAGGAGGAGGAGGAGGAGGAGGAGGAGGAGAGGAGGAGGAGAGGAGGAGGAGGAGGAGGAGGAGGAGGAGAGGAGCGAGGAGGAGGAGGAGGAGGAGGAGGAGGAGGAGGAGGAGGAGGAGGAGGAGCGAGGAGCGAGGAGGAGGCGCACCGCTCCCGCGGGCGAATGAACCGCAGGCGCGGCGAGTTCCAGCAGCTCCCCGGCGTCGGCGGCCCCTAGGATCGCCCCTGGGCCTCCCGCCCGACCGGCTTGACGCCCGGGCGGGGGGGAGGGAAGGGATGAAGGCGAAGAGGGGGCAGTGGAGGAGTAGGAGGGAAGGAGGGGAAGAGTATCCGAGGCGATACGGGGCGAGGGAGGGGGGGAATGGAGGGGAGGGGGGGAGAGCGGAGAGAGACGGGGAGGAGGGCGAGTATGAGGACGATGATGCTAGTGCTGCTGCTGCCGGTGATGGTGGTGATGATGATGGTGGTGGTGATGATGATAAGGATGGTGATGATGATGTTGATGTTGATGATGCTGATGATAATACCTGTGAAGATGATGATGTTGATCATGCTGATGATGCTGATGCTGCTGCTGATGATGATGATGATGACGATGACGATGACGACAATGATGATGACGATGATGACGATGACGATGACTATTACTAGTATGATTACGATTACGATCATGATGATGCTGATGACGACGATGATGGCGACGACGATGATGATGACGACGATGATAATGATGACGATTATGGTAATGATGATGGTGAAGTTGACGACGACGATGACGATGACGATGAGGATGATGGTGACGATGACGATGATGGTGATGCTGATGATGATGATGCTGATGACGATTATTCTCATTATGATGATAACGACAACGACCGTGATGATGATGATGATGAAGATGATTATGATGATCATGATGATGACAATGATGGTGATGCTGACCATGATAATGGTAATGATGATGATAATCGATGACGATGACGATGATGATGATGCTGAATTTGATAAAGTTGTTGATGATGATGGTCATGATGATCATGATGAGGGTTATCATGATGCTGATGATGACGACGATCTTGCTGTGGACGATGATGGTGACGATGACAACGATGATGATGAAGTTGGTGATGATGCTGCTGATGATGAAGAGGATGATACTGATGATGATGATGGTGATGATGATGATGATGATGATTATGGTGGTGACGACGACGGTGATGTTGATGATGATGATGATGATGATGATGATGATGATGATGATGATGATGATGATGATGATCAGGTTGATGAATGTGATGACGAATAATGATGATGTTGATGATAATACTGATGATGATTGATGCTGATGATGATGCTGATGATGAAGGTGATGATGACGATGATGATGAGGATGGTACTGATGATGAATATGAGGAATCTGATGAATATGATGATGATGATGATGATGATGATGATGATGATGATGATGATGATGATCAGGGTGAGGGTGATTATGATCATGATGCTGATGATGATGAGGATGAAGATGATGATATGGACGATGATGATGATGATGATGCTGAGCAAGATGATGATGATGATGATGATGATGATGATGATGATGATGATGATGATGTGATGATGATGGTGGTGATGCACATGATGATGATGATGATGATGATGATCATGATGATGATGTGATGCTGCTGATGGTGATCATGACGATGACGGTGACGATGCTGATGATGATGATGATGACGATGGTGGCGATGACGATGACGATGACGCTGACGATTCTGATTGCAATGAAGGTTATGATAATGCTGATAACGGTTATGATGACGACGACGATGATGATGATTATGACGACGATGCAGATGACGATTCTGATGCTGATGATGGTGATGATGATTTCAACGATGACGATGACGATGACGATGAGGATGACGATGACGATGATGATGCCCATGATGATGGCGATGATGATGAGGATGGTGATGATGAGGATGATGATGATGATGATCATCATCATCATGACGACGATGGTGATGATGATGACGATGCTGAATGATGATCATAATGATGATGATGATGATGATGATGATGATGATGATGATGATGATGATGATGATGATACTAAGGATTCGGATGATGATTGGTGGTGATGATGAGGATGATGATGAGAAAGATGATGAAGATGATGAAGCTGACGACGCTGATGATGATGATGATGATGATCATGATGACGGCGATTATACTGATGATGACGACGATGTTGTGGACGTTGGTTATGATGTTGATGGTGGTGGTGCTGGTCGCGGTGATGGTCATGATGAAGCTGGTTGCGGTGGTGGTGATTATGTTGATGAGGTAATGCTGATACTGATGCTGATGCAGATGATGATGGTGATAAGGATTACGATGATGTTACTGATGATGATGCTGATGATGCTGATGATGATGCTGCTGATGCTGAGGATGACGATGATGACGACGACGATGATCATGATGATGTTGATGATGATGATGATGATTCTGATGATGATGTGGATTATAACGCGGATGATGATGATGATGATGATGATGTTGATGATGATGATGATGATGGTGGTGGTGGTGGTGGTGCTGGCCGTGGTGATGGTTATCGTGATGCTGGCGGCGGTGGTGGTGATTATTTTGATGGTGGTGGTGGCGATGATGATGCTGATGCTGATGCAGATGATGATGGTGATGAGGATCACGATTATGATGCTGACGATGGTGATGATGACGATGATGATGATGATGATGATAATGCTGAGGATGACGACGGGGACGACGACGATGATGATGTTGTTGATGATGTGGATGAAAGGGAGTTTGATGATGTGGATGATAAGGCGGATGATGTTGATGATGATGGTGGTGGTGATGATGATTATGTCTGTGGTGATGACGAGGATGAGTAGGATGGTGAGCATAGCTTTGTGGACGACGATGCTGACTATGGTATCTTCGGCTGGCGATGATGATGGTGATGATGATGACGATGATGAGGATGGTGATGATGATGACGATGATGACGATGATGACAATGATGACGATGATTACGGTGATGACGACGATTAATGTGATGATGGTGGTGATGAGGAGGAGGAAGGGGAGGAGAAGGATGAGGACCAGTGCAGTTCAAAGATCCATCAACGATAGTGCAAGATCCCCTCCCTCCACGTTTCCTCGTTTAAGCCCCTACAGGGATCTGTTTTCACTTAACGAAGTGCCCCGTTGGAAAACAACTACTTGAAGGTCCTGAATTGTGCTGGGACATCATTCCTGGGATCTCAACGCCGCGAGTCACCGTTACTGTTGCGTCTTGACGACCCGGAATCTTACAGAACACCGTTCTTAATATTTCAGCACCGTGAATCACAGTAACTGGTGCGCCCACAATCCGACATCGTGCCAAAACACCATCTCTGGGGACGTTAGCCATGAGGATCCTTGAAACAGTTGTAAACGTTAGTGTGCGCGGCGCTACGGCGAGAGCCACATCATTAAACAGCGACCTGCCCTCCATCCGTGAAACAATTGCGAACTTTGACGACGAATTTGCGCGGCGCTAAGGCGAGGGCCACATCATGAAAAAATGACCTGCCCTCCATCCGTGAAGCTCTGGTTGCAATGTTTAAGACACATTCGTAGCGCTAAGGCGAGAGCCAGATTATGAAACCGACCCGCCCTCCATCCGTGAAACTATTCCAGACTTTGAAGGCGAATTTGCGCGGCGCTAAGGCGAGAGTCACGTAGGGCGAAACGACCCGCCCTCCAAGCGTGAAGCTCCTTGCAAATTTTTAAGACGGATGTTGGCGGCGCTAAGGCGAGAGCCACATTTTGAAAGCGACCCGCCCTCCATCGTGAAACGATTGCAAGCTTTAAAGACGGATGTGCGCGGCGCTAAGGCGAGTTTTGTTTTTGAAAGCGACCCGCCCTTCATCCGCGAAATTGCTGCGAAGTATAAGCTTCAGGATTAAAGGTGGTGCGGAAGTCTCAGGCGAAACGCCTGGCCCGCCCTTTCGACTGGCCTCGGGGTGCGATAGGGTGGAGTTCTTCATGCGGAGAAGGAATGGAGGAGGGGAGGTGGAGGAGGAGGGGGCGGAGGAGGAGCAGGATGAGGAGAGGGAAGAGAGATGAGGGAGGAGAGAGAAACACAGAAAGAGAGAGAGAGAGAGAGAGAGATAGAGGAGGGAATAGCGAGGAGGAGGATGGAAAGAGGAAGGTGGAGGGACGGGGGGGTGGAAGGGGGGAAGAAGAGGACGATGAGTAAAGAGGGAGGGAGGAAGGGAGGGAGGGAGCGATGGTGGGGGAGAACAGATCGAGAGAATGAGGGACGTAGGGAGGCGGGAGGTAGAAGGAGGCAGGACAAAGTTTGGAAGGAGGAGTTGCAGGAACCGATGATTAAGCCCGGGATGCATTAACGATGCTGCAATGCGCCCTCCCGCTCCAAGTCCCCTCCTCGCACTTCTCTGCTAGCACTCCTGTCACTACGGAAGGTGCCTCCTTGCAAGACGATTGCCCCTTAGAAGCTTTTCGCTCAGGGGAGGGCCTCGCTTCGAAAGGGGGCTGCCCTGCCTCCCGCTTCCAAAAGGGAGCTGTCTTGCCCTGCATCCCTCTGGCTGTCAGGAATGCGAAGAGGCAGGGCCATCAAGCCCAAGAAAGAGCTTGGGCGAGAGCCACGTTTTGAAAACGAGCTGCCCTCCAGCTGTGTAGGTGTGATCCAACGTTACACTGTTGTCTTTTTTAACATTGAATTCTCTTTTTTCCTTTTCTTCTTCTGAGTATCATTACACTTACTAGTATTCCTTTTTTTCAGAACGTCTCAAACCGTACATCTGGTTTGAGAACGAGCCGCCCTCCACCTCGTGCAGCTGTTGCAAGCGTGCTGCACGCGCTCGCACTTCTGGCCATGATCTCGGAGTTCTCGAGCGAGAGCCCCGGTTATGGAAGGGTGGCTGCGCGAGAGCGCGAACATATCGCAGGCCTAGAGATTGATACCAACCAGCACCAATATCGGCGGTGTGCCTCCACCGAGGGAAGAAGAGCCCGATCTCGGTGATGGTGGTAATGTTCTGGCTTCCACGGTGACCGACATATTACCACCAACACTGAAATCTAGGATCACCTTTACCCCTGCGGAGGCAACCCCCCTGTGTTGGTGTTGGTGCCCAATCCCAGGCCTCCAAACATAGCCGCGCACCGCGGGGCGCGAGTCGCGAAGCCACGGCAGAGGCTCGTGGCGCGTCGTCGACGTGCCGGCGACATGCCGCCAGCCTGGAAGCAGCCACTACTCGAAGCCTTGCGCTGTCGGGCAGCCGCGATCGTGCAGGGTGGAATCGGCGTCGCCCCAACATGAGGGCTGGACCTAAACGGTGTTTTGGCGATTTCGTGGGCCGTTTTCGTTTTGATTTCGTTCTGCGGTGAAGGCGGATTGAAGACAAAACGAGGGAAAACGACAACACAACGAATACGAAAAACATTGTTTAGGTTCAGCCTTGCCCAACACACTGATACTATATGTGCGCCGCCCCCCTGGGGGCGATGCGCGCACCGAGAAATCTTATAGCATATGCGCCGCGGCGGGCGCTCTCTGGCCACACCGCTCGGGAAACGATGTATGCGACAAGATGGGTATACAATGTGCTTGGGTCGGAGGCGTGCCTCCATGGATAACATATAGTACTCCCGCGGTGCCGGAGAAGCCGGCGCAGAAGTCGCCTTGGCACGAGCCCGCCGCAGGTGACTTGTGATGGGCTTGTTTTCCACCACCACCACCACAAGTGAGAGGGGGGAAGGAGTAGGAGGAGGAGGAGGAGGAGGAGGAGGAGGAGGAGGAGGAGGAGGAGGAGGAGGAGGAGGAGGAGGAGGAGGAGGAGGAGGAGGAGGAGGTGGTGGTGGTGGAAAACAGGCTCACAACCTCCCCCTCCAATTTATGGTGGTGGTGGTGGAAAACAGGCTCATCAACCTGGGCGGCCGGCCGAGCGGGTCCTGGGGCCTGGGGCCGCGGAGCCCAGGCCGGCACCGTGGTGCTCCCGCTGCGGCACCACGAGCGCAGTCGACTTGGGCTGGGCCAGGCGGCCTCTTCTCGGGAGCCTTGAGACGAGGGTCAGTGCAAACGGGGGTCAGCCAGAGCGCCCGATCTTGCAGGATCCTGCAGGGCCAGTGTCGCATTGACCGGGGGTTTGGGTGCAGGATCCTGCCGGATTTTGCAGGATCCTTGGGACTGACCCGGGTTTGGGCGCAGGACCTTGCAGGATCCTGCAGGATTCTGCAAGGCCTGGCTGACCCGGGTTTGGATTGACCCGGGTCAGAAGATTCCCGATCTTCGCCGTGGCCGGTGGTCTTTGTTGTCCTAGTTTCTCAAAAATGTCCAAACTTGTCTTGGGGAGTCGAATTTTTTCTTGAATTTTGGATTTGCTGGCCCATCTCTCGCAGGACCGCAGCGGCCTCGCCGGCGGACTCGGACGCGGACACGCAGCCGCGGGCCGTGGAGCGCACCGCCACGACGATGGTGGGCGCGGGCGGCCAGGATAGAATATGGTACCCATCCGCGGCTTTGGAGGAGTCGGGCCCTGGGACCCTGAGGGCTGGGGGGCGATTGT